CGGAGCAGGAGGAGGAGGAGGAGGAGGAGGAGGAGGAGGAGGAGGAGGAGATAAAAGCTGGGGGCACCTTGTACCGGGGACACGCGTGTGGCAGCACCCGAGGCCGATGCGGCGGGCTGCGCGTGCTGACCGTGATGAGGTCGGGGGGTTCGCAGCGTGCCGGTGGAGGGGCTGCACGGGGCTCGCCGTTCAGTGAGGACCCAGGCCTCCGACGTCTTGCTTCGGAGGTCGGTCGACCTCCTATGTCGGTATCGTGAAACGGATCCCCATCCCGATCCTCATCCCCTTTCGAGGCCCCCGCCAGATTGCCACCCCGGTTGGGGATGCACCCCTCGAAACTCCGAAGGCAGCGCCTGTATCCCCATCTAGGGGGGTTAAATGGGCCAGTGGGGCCCAGGCCACGCCGCTGGGGATGGGGGTCTCATCAGCGATGCTCAGCTCACTACCCTGACACGCCGAAAGGATTTGGCCGTCTTCGGTTCGCGAGAAGGCGTCGCGGCCGTCATTTTCTGTGGGTCCAGGCCCGTGGGTTTCGGTCCTGGGCCGTTTTCGCTAAAGGGTGGCTTGCTAAAGGGAGGTTTGTCCACCGCCGATTGCTTCGACACGACGTTCCAGGAATGAAGACTAAAAAGAACTGCGTGAAACTCACTTAGTTTTCGATTACCGCTTCGGGATTTTTTGCATCTACAGAAATCCACGCAACACTCCGCTACAGCACGTTGCAAGGTCGGTGCAGTGACCATTTCCCCAGGGCCAGCTTTGCATCCTGAGCCGCCGGGCCCTCGCGGGCTGATTTCCGGCGCCCTCGCGGGCTGGTTTCGGACAGCCTCGCACAAGACGTCCACGCATGCCTCGAGAGTTCGCTTCGTGTGAATCGCCGTGGGCCCGCGACCTCCGCGCGCGCCTTCTTTCATTGCTGCCAGTGGCCCTCGGCGCTAGAGGCTCGGTAGATTCATGCCGCTGGTGTCGCCCGAGCCGCCGACGGTCTTGGAAGGGGGGGGGCCGGCGAGGGCCCCCAGAGGCCGCCAGCGACGAAGAGCTTCCGCGTGTAAGCTTTCCGCACGCCGGGCCCCCACGAGCTGCACCGACCGCTTCCCCCGGGGGCAGCGAGTGTCTCGACCTGGATCCGTCGACACGGCCTTGGGGGGCCCGGCGAGGGCCCCAGAGGCCGACAGCGACGAAGAGCTTCTGGGCGGAAGCTTGCAGCGCGCTGGGCCCCAGAGTTGCACTGGCCGCTTCCTCCCAGGGGGCAGCGCTTCGACCTGGACCCGTCGACAATTACGGCCCTGGGGGGCCCGGCGAGGGCCCCCGACAGGGCCCCGAGGAGGGCAGAGAGCGCAGCGATGGAGATAGGCAGGTTCGGCGGCGAGCGAGAGGGGGAAGTGAGGAGGAGGGGGAGGAGGGGGAGGAGAAGGAGAAGGAGGAAGAGGAGGCGGAGGAGAGGAGGAGGAGGAGGAGAAAAAGGAGGAGGAGGGAGGAGGACGGAGGAGGAGACGGAGGGGGAGACGGAGAGGAAGACGAAGGAGGAGGAGGAGGAGGAGGAGGAGGAGGAGGGAGGAGGAGGAGGAGACGAAGGAGGAGGAGGAGGAGGAGGGAGGAGGAGGAGAACGGGAGAGCGGAAGAGGAGTAGGACGGAGGAGGAGGCGGAGGAGGGGGGGAGGAGGAGGAGGAGGAGGAGGAGGAGGAGGAGGGAGGAGGAGGGGGGAGGGGGAGGGGGAGAGCGAGGAGGAGAGGCGGAGGAGGAGGAGGAGGAGGAGGAGGAGGAGGAGGAAGCAGGAGCAGGGAGGGCAGGAGGAGGCGGAGGAGGAGGAGGAGGAGGAGGAGGAGGAGGAGGAGAGGAGGAGGAGGAGGAGGAGGAGCTCGCGGAGAGTCGAGGACGAGGAGGAGGCGGGGGACTTCTCGGAGCTTCTGAGAAGGCCCGCCCCTTCTCGCTTCCCCCCGCGCTCGCCACCAACAGGTCTAGGGGAACGAACAATGACATATAGGCATAACACACTCGGAGGTCCGCGCGGATTCCTCGGATACGCGCTGAACCGCCTTCCTTGGCGCGCGGGGCGCGCCAGGGGGGGGCGCCGGAGGCGCACCCAGGGGGCCCCAGCGCGGATCCGAGGAATCCGCGCGGACCTCCGAGTTGCTTAATGCTTATATGTCATTGTTCGTTCCCCTAAGATCGTCGGAGTTCTGGGAAGGACGCCGCCGTCTCGGAGGCCGCCGCCCTCCCCCCCCCTACCTCCTCCTCCTCCTCCTCCTTCTCTCCTCCTCCTCTCCTCCTCCTCCTCCTCCTCCTCTCTTCCTCCTCCTCCTCCTCCGCCTCCTCCTCCCTCCTCTCTCCTTCCTCTCCCTCACTCCTCCTCCTCCTCCGCTCCTCCTCCTCCCTCCCTCCTCCTCCTCCAGATCCACCTCCAGCAGACCGCCTCCCGTCTCGGAGGCCGCCGCTTCGGAGGCCGCGGCGGCGGCGGCGGCGGCCCCGGCGCCCGAGCAGGCCGCGGCGGCGGCCGCGGGCGCCGTGGCGCCGCGGCCTGCCGATGACGCGGAGGGCGGCGCCGACTCGGAGGCCGCGGGTCGTTGCTCCTCTGGGGGAGCACAGCCGCCTCCTCCTCCTCCGCCTCCTCCGCCTACGCCTCCGCCTCCGCCTCCGCCTCCGCCTCCTCCTCCTCCTCCGCCTCCTCCTCTCTCCTGCTCTTCCTCCTCCCTCCTCATCCTCCTCCTCCTTCCTCCTCCTCCTCCTCCTCCTCCTCCTCCTCCTCCTCCTCTTCCTATTCCCCCTCGCCCTCCTCCGCGGCGGCGCCCTCCTCGCAGGCCGCGGCGGAGGGCGAGGAAGCAGCGGGCGAGGCCGCCGCGCCGGGGCCCGCCGCCTCGGAGGACGGCGGCGGGGCGGGCTCGGAGGGCGCGGCCTCCGAGGGCGCGGAGGCCGATGACGCCGCCCCGAGGCCCGAGGAGGAGAAGAAACCACGCCGGGCACGCCAGCTTCTGGCCTACTGAGTCCTCTTGGCCATCCTCGGCGTCCTCTTCGCCTACTGAGCCTCGGGCCGGGCGAAAGGGGGGGATTGGGAAAGGGGGGTTTACGAAATTTGCTGCATGCAGCTGGTTTCGGCCTCACCGAGGGGCCCATTCCTCGATACATACAGTCGGGGCCCTGAAGAAGGAACCCTTTTCGTTGGGGAGGGGCTCCGCGTTCCTTAAGTGTTTCACAGCTTGCCTCAGGCTTTCCATATGTTTTCGACATGAAATCGAAGGTTAACTTATGGAAAACAGGGGCCTCGTTCCTTATTTAGGGTTCCTTAGGTCAATGCCCCGACTGTAGCCGCCTCTGGCGCCGGGAGGCGCCAGGAAAATCAGCTACGTGAGCTGATTCTCACCCCCCCCACTTTGCTTTCCCCCCCTTCGCCCGACCCGAGAGTCGCAGCGTAGTTCGCTCCTGTGCGCTTGGTGCTCAATTCAGATCGTAGCGCTGCTGCTTCGCTCTGCTCTTGACGGCGCGCGGTCGTGCCGTGTCGCTCGCGGATCAACAAGTGATTTTTGGCGCTCCGCGCGGCTTGCTCGGGTCCGCGCCTCGGGCCCCCCACCGGCTTGGCAGCACTCGGACGTATGCATTTTTCCCCGGCGAGGGCCATCGAAGAGCATCCTGGATCATCGAGCAAGAAAAGCGCGCACAAAACCGAAAAACGCACAGGGAATGGACGTCCGAGCGACGGCAAACCGGGCGGCGCGCGCGCCTAACCGGGGCGCCGCCCCTGGGCGCGCTGCGCGCGCGGCATGGGAGGGGGGGCCCGGGGCGCGGACCGAGAAGTCCACGCGGAGCGCCAAGAGCGTTTGTCTGTGGCGCTGCAGGTGCCGGAGCACACTGGAGCAACTCGCGCATCACACCTGGTGTGACCCCCCCCCCCCCCGAAAGCAATGCTGGGATCGGATCTCCGAATCTGCCTGTCGGACCAGCGATGCGTATATACAGTGGAGGCCCATGCCAGGGAACACCCTGCTTGCCTCCAGGGTGCCCTGGGTTTCTCGGGTTTCGATGGTTCTGCGCTGGAAAGCGTGACGTTCCCTCGCCCAATATCTATGGACGCCCTGGTGTCTCAGGGTTGGGTTTCTCGTGGAGGGCTTCTTGTGGACTCGCCTCCACTGTACGTGCGCCTTCTTTGAACTGCGGGGGAATGGGGGGGGTGCTGCTTAATTTTTGTCCCTCAGTCTCTAGAGGCCCGGCCCCGCACCGGGCCGCTGCTGGGCCGCCGGCGCGGCGCGGCCGCCGGCGCGGCCGCGGAAGGAGGGGCGCGAGGTGCACCGGGTGATCGGCTTCCAGGGCGTCGCCGCCGCGAGGTACATGAAGCAGGTGGAGGAGAGCCACAAGGCGGAGGGCGGAGGGGACTGTGCCAGGGTTACGTCGGGCCTGTCCCTCCACAGGGGGAGCATCTACAAAAAAAGTATGAAAATAATCAGGGGACGATTTTTTTATCGTTATAGAGTATTTCTTGCGCATGTTTGGGGTATCTTTGTCTTTTCCGTTCGAAATCCGCCTATAGGGGAGCATGCCCGACCTAACGCTAGGGGAACGAACAATGACATAAACAGAAAATCTCGGAGGTCCGGGCGGACATCTCGGATCCGCGCTGGGGCCCCCCGGCGGCGCCTCCGGCGCCGCCCCTGGCGGGCTCCGCGCGCCAAGGAGGGGGTCCAGCGCCGATCCAAGAAATCCGCGCGGACCTCAGAGTTTTTATGTTTCTGTCGTTGCTCGTTCCCCTAAGTGCACAGGCGCCGGGCTCCTCCCATGTGGTCCAGGATCGGTGCATGTGCCCGGGCCCGGGGATGGGCCCAGCCAGGATCAGCGCTTGTGCCCAGCTCGGGTAGGGGGTCGACTAGAGAATTGATGTGCCCCAGGCTTGATTTTCTCGCCGAGTCATACGTAGAGAGTTCGTAGATCTGATGACGTTCCACACATGTTTCATCGAGGAGCACACCCATCTTGGAGTGTATGTGCATGTCTATATCTATATCTATAACTATATCTATATATATATATATATGTATGTATGTATATATATATATATATATATATATATATATATCTGTATATA